TGGATGCGAGGATTCATGGAGACACGCTCTCGTGTCCTGCACCATGTCGAGGTGCGTTTGGGCTTTGACTGAAGACACCATTGTATCCAGGATGACCGAGAACGAGGTAGCTGATGCGAGGATTTGGTTGTTTGAGTTGCACGAGTCGATGGACCATTCCAGCTTCACAAGGATGGTTATCACTCTTTGGTCGATTTGGTACTCTCGACGGAAGGCCATATATGAATCAATCTTCCAAAGCCCACAGCAAACTGTCAACTTTGTTAACAACTACATCAACGATCTAGGTCTCATCACATCACGGGAGGATCATCCAGGTCTAACTGCCCCCGCCCAAGACCGCCCAACATGGTGGCTTCGTCCGCCGAGCGGCAAAGTCAAGATCAACGTAGATGGGGCAATGGCTAGGCAAAGCAGAGGAGGAGCGATCGCGGTTCTATGCCGGGACCACGAGGGAGTCTACTTGGGATCGTCGGCGGTGGTTTTTCGCCACACGAGGGATCCCGTTCTTCTGGAGACATATGCTTGTCGAGAGGCACTAGCACTCGCCGACGACCTGGCGGTCAGAAACATCTATGTGGCTTCGGATTGCCAGGAGGTGGTAAACAACATCAACAGGAGCACCGGAGGCCCAAATGCGTCTATTGTGCATGAAATATTGAGTCATTGTAATAGCTTTAGTTCTTGCTCTTTTGTTCATGAGCGAAGGAACTTTAATTTCGAGGCTCATAATCTCGCTAAATTTGCTTGTAAGCTAGGTATAGGGCGTCATATTTGGTTGGGCACACCTCATGACCCAACATGTGTACCTATGACCATCCCTTTGATTGAATAAAGTCAGCGAGATTCCTCAAAAAAAAAAAAAACTAGCCCCCATTAACCTATTTCTCTTAACATGTAAGTTTGCCACCTCATCATTCAACATGCATGAAGAAAGGTCCACCACAACATGCAATCAAAAGATTCCCGCAACAACATATACATGTTCCACGTAACCAATTCTCTATGAATATATTGCAATACATTCCCGCAACAACGTGTCAAATAGGTAGGTGTAGGTGTAGCATTTTCCGCAACGCTTGTAGCTACGTAGGTGTAGCATTTTCCCAAAATTCTTCTGTATTTTAAACTTGGCTTAAGAGAAGATAAGATTGGCTTGATTTACATTGTGTGAAGCCCATTGTCCCAGGTGATCCAGCAAAGTCCGACTGGTCAGGCCTAGTTGTGGCTGTCTTTTGTGTTTACTAATTGGGAAAAGAGTTGTAAAAAAAACTAATTGGGAAAAGTACATATTTTTCGTCCCTAAACTTTCTCAAAGGGGGTATAGGCGCCGGCGTGCCGGCCCAAACTTTGGGCCGGTGGCATCCCAGCCGTACAATGCGAGCTATGCAGCTGTCAAATTTCGTCCGAAAAAAATGATTCGCACAGCTCACCCTGCGCCCTTTCCCTACCTCCTAAATCTCGCGTCCGCTGACCAAATCTACAGATCGGTCCCCCGCCACGACGCTGCTCCTTGCCGGTGGCAGCGCCGCGTCTCCTCGCCGGGATTAGTCGCTGCACCGCCCGCCGGCCCAAACTTTGGGCCGGTGGCATCCCAGCCGTATGATGCGAGCTATGCGGTCGTCAAATTTCGCCTGAAAAAAATGATTCGCCCAGCTCACCCTGGGCCCTTTCAATTCCCTACCTCCAGAATCTCGCGCCCATTGACCAAATCTATGGATCAGTCCCCCGCCGCGACGCTGCTCCTCGCCGGTGGCAGCGCTGTGTCTCCTCGCCGGGATTAGTCGCTGCACCGCACCACCGGCCCTAGCACCAAAATGACTCGTCTCTTGCTCGCCAGCCATCCGTGCCAACCGCGCTTGTCCCTCAGCCACCACATGACATTGATGACTGTAGCTCACCCGTCAACCGATTCCAGCTCGCGGTCGTCATGGTTGCACCATTCCCTGCGGCACCGCCTCCGCTCGTCGCCGACGTCCGCTCAGACCACCGTGTTCGCCTGCAAAAAAACTCAGTCGAAAACAAAAACTCCGTTGATTTGCATGTAGCAGCAAAAACGCATGCCGGTTCCAACCAAAAATATCCCAGCTTCCAATCAAAGCACCTCGATGTTGTCGATCATAGCGAGAAAACGAGCTCGCCGGTGTTGCCGACCCTCTGGCTGCAACATTAATGCGACAACAGCGGCGCTCACCAGCCGAGCGTGTGGTAGCAAAAAAAGGACACCGGTTCAGCAAAAAATAAAAAGGGATGGTTTCCAGTAAAAACAGACGCCCGATGCAGCAAATTTCCTCGCCGGTTCAGCATACACTTAGCTGGTTGCAGCAAAACCGCGCACACTTATCCAGCAAAAAAATCTATGGCCTGGGGGTGCCTCCTGTCGCAGCATCGTTGCAACATCTCATGGGGCGGTCCGCACGTGTCCACCCAACTACATGCATCTCGTGCGGGGAACAGCTTGTGTGGGCGCACGACTCCAGGGTGGCGCGCGGCCGGCGCAAAATTCGTATGGCGCGCCGTTTCCAAATGTTTTCCTTTCTCAAATGTACTAGAAAATGGTCGTTCAATTTCAAAACCGGATAATCTTAGTCTCCCAACTTCTCAAATCACATTAGTTTAGTCCCTTAACTCAATATAGAAGTGGTTTTTATGCTGACTTAGCATGGCTTTGACCAGTCACCGCCCATCCACCCACGTGGCAATCTTCTTCTTCCTTCCCATTTTGACCTCGGCTGGGCATTTTGTCGAGCAGCAGGCGCGCGCCGAGCAACAAGAGCAGGAGTAGACACAAACTGATGTAACGTACACCACTAACTGATGTTCCTTGCCGTCCCATGCTCATGGTCTGCCTCTGGCATTGTAAATGACGGCGCCGTCGATGTCTCCTCGTGATCCAGTTCACGCCCACATCCCTCACTGGGCACCGTTGGATGTTGAGGTATGTTCTTTCGTCGTCGCCACGTCCATCATTCCCACATCAGGCAGGCATGTCACCAGCGCCGCGAGCTGGTCACATGAATGCGAGCTCCAGAGCGCGGCGCATCGCGCACAGATAGGAGGGGCCGACGCGCCCAGCTCTGGCATCCTGGACGCGCTCTATGCCACACACGGCGCCCAAGTGTACGCCACCCCACGGCCCTCGTCGAGCTCAGGGTCGCCATACAAGCACACACGGCCGCGTCACTGCCGGCGTTGAGCCGTCTATGCCGCACGCGTAGATGCCGACGCCCTACATTGCTGCGCCATGGGCGTGGGTGGCTACCCGCGAGCCTACCCGTGCCGCATCCCCCTGGCTGCCTGCATCCTCTCCGCGCTCCAAGAGAGCAGGGTGTCACCCTGCTGGCTTGGCTCTCTCGGTGGGAGCAAGCCCACCCGGGTTCGAGTCCGGAGGTGACCCGGGTGCTTAGAGAATTTCTCCTATAAAAATATACCTCCAAGTGCTAGTCCTGGATGGTCTCATTTTTTTTTCACCGCGCTCCAACTGTTCAACAAAGTGTCCAGTCATGGTCAAAATGAAAAGGAAGAAAAAGATTGCCACGTGGCGGTGACTGGTCAAACCCATGCCAAGTCAGCATAAAAACTGCTTTTGTTGAGTTAAGGGACTAGAGTAATCCGGTTTGAGGGATTAAAGTTTACCGGTTTTGAAATTAAGAAACTAATTCTATACTTTCGAGAGAGTTTAGGGGTGAAAATATACTTTTTTCTTACTAATATATTATCGGGAGTTTTCAGTGGCATTTTAAAATGCCTCAAAAGATTGAACAAAGCTGGGGCTCTCCAAAAGCGCCGGTGTAGTTTTTTTCCTTCGCGATGGTCGTTAGCACTTTCAAGGAATTCCTTGATAGACTTTTGGAGGCATTTTTAGAGCTTTCAAAGGCATTTGTTAACGCCTCCTATTTTTTGTTGTGTTGTAGTGGAGACACTCATGTAGCACCGCACAACGTTGGTACAACAATCCCGCATCCCACTTCACACTATTCCCTGCAGCACCTCTACCTCGCGGCCTTTGAAAACATCGGAGCAGCTTCGCCGCTCACTTCACACCACTCCATGCAGCATCACTGCTGTGGCAAGCCTGTCCTTTTTGCAGCATTATGCTGCTGCTCGCCATCTACAGCGGCGGTCGCCGACCATACAGTTTGCAGCGCGAGAGTGGTCGGAGAGCTCACAACGCTCCATTGCAGTACCGGCGGCCGCGCGTAATGCTCCATCATAGCATCGACCACACGTGGAAGCTCTACCTGCAGCCACATTCGTAAGCACCATCAGCACCAACGCCCACGAGTGAAAGCTCCATCACAGCGCCCCGTGGTGCTCAACGATGCTTCCAATCCATCAGATGCTCCATCACAAGATCGCCGATGATGCATCGGTGTTGCACTTGGGGCATGCGTAGGCAATGGTCGGCGTTGAACCCTCTTTTGATTTGGGCAGAGGGGAGATGGTGGTCGGCGTTGAATACTCTTTTGATTTGGGCAGAGGGGAGATGGTGGTGGCCATTGGGAGCCCCTCCCCATAGAAAGCAGGTGTCGAGCGAAGGATGCGATTGACAGAGGGAGAGATGAGTCGAGTCAACGGAATTAAAGAGTTTTTCTTTCTTTATCGCTCTTTTACACACATGTGTGTTGTTATTCTTATCTTGAGTACGACGAATTAGGTTGCGAAATAATTGTTCTTCCCCTTCGAATTCGGACAAAGAAAAGAACAAGAAGGAGAGAGTTCAGAGCCTATAAAAAAAGACCCTGACAAGTTTCATACGTGTGGCATGAACACATGTCAACTTCGAACGTTTTTCATGACTACTTTTTTTTTGGATGGCAAGTTTACTTTTTTTTTCAGATACAACTTTAGTTGTTATCATTTGACCATTTAGGGAAAAAAAGCAAAAGAGCATTCGGAACTCTGCAGTTCTCCAGTTGGCCTTCTCTTCTTTCTCTCTTGCCGGCTCCGACGGACCGGCAAAATTCCAAATCTCTCTCTCTGTGGGCGGGCGGGCGGCGATGGAGAGCCCCACATCGGCGGCGTCGCGGGTGGACTTCTACGGCTTCCTCGACCGCATGCGCCGCCCGGAGGCCGCCGACCTCTTCCGCTCCATCAAGAGGTCAGTCGCTCAGTCCCCCTGGCCAATCCAATCCATCGAGCATTGCCTCCCCCTCCCATCCCCCGCGTGGATCTGATCTAAAACCGGGAGCTTTACCCCCCGCAGCTTCCTCACCTCCCTCTCCCTCGACGAGCCCAGCGCCGAGGCGGACGGCGCCAGGGTCCAGGCCTTCTTCGCGGAGATGGAGGCGGCCATCCGGGGCCACCCGCTCTGGGCCGACGCCACCCACCAGGAAATTGACCACGCGCTCGAGGTCTCACAATCAGTTTCCTGCCATAAATTTTTATTTTCGGGATCCTCGCGTTGAACGCCTCTGCTTGATTTGCCCCTGCGTGCGTGCCGAGCAGGGCCTCGAGAAGTACATCATGACCAAGCTGTTCGACCGCACCTTCGCGGCGTCGCCGGAGGACGCGGCGGCCGACGCCGAGGTCTCGGACAAGATCGCCCTCCTGCAGCGCTTTGTCAGGCCCCATCACCTCGACATACCCAAGGTCCTCAACAACGAGGCTTCCTGGCTGGTAAGCCCATGTGCTCTGTTCTCACTGCTCATTTCAGTTTATATTACTGATGATTATTTTCAGAATGTACCTGTTGAGTCGCTATTCAGTTGGTTCATCAGCATCTTTAGTTTTCTGATGGTAATCCTGCATGAAAGATACCATTCCAGTCGTAGAACCAATGCCCAAACTAGCTCTGACCTCTGTTGATGCGCATTGTCATTGTAGATTGCAGTTAAAGAACTACAGAAGATTAATTCCTTCAAGTCCCCGTGGGAGAAGCTTCTCTGTATGATGAGCTGTTGCCAAGTCATCAATAACTTGCTGCTAAACGTGTCCATGACAAATGACCGGACGTTGTCTGGCGCTGATGAGTTCCTTCCCATTCTCATTTATATTACCATCAAGGCAAGCTTCTCGTTCTCAATGTCTATTCTTGCTCCATTGCCCTCATTCAGACTTATAGTAATGACTGGCTGCAGATCGTTGAGGCAAAAATTGTTGCTTATATTTGCCTGCTTAGGATTTATGGTGATCCTTGTGGATAGATATTCTGACATTGTGACTACTGTACTACTAGGCTCGCTGGTTCATTCTCTCTGTGTTTGTTCAATTATCGTTTCGCTTTCGTTGAGGTGCCAACTATTTTCCTTTGTTCATCAAATTTCAGTTGACAACATGGCTGGAGATAAACGTTGAACCTTCAATTCCCATTTAGTCATTTCTTTTAACTGTGAAAAGGAGTTCCCATTTTAGTCGTTCCTTCTAACTGTGAAAAGGAGTTACTTCAGTTCCCATTTAGCCATGTGCGCACTGTGAAATAAATATGTCGTGATCTTACAGTTGAAATTGATTGCAGAATCATTTCTCTTTGCTGCTGTTTGTTGTTACTTGATGTTATTTTTTTCTGCCTCTTTACTTCTTTTAATTTTTTTAAATTTTATTTTCCCCTTGATTTCACTAATGAACATGAGTTCTCTACGGACCAGGGAGCATATGAGTTGCCTATGTCTTGGTGATACTTTCTGTGGTCTACTTAGGCAATCCTAAGACCCATTGCAGTTCCATGTTTTTATGTTTTACTGAATTGAGTAACTGAAGCCACCTGAAAAACTTACGCAGGCCAATCCTCCTCAGTTGCACTCAAATCTGAAGTTTGTTCAACTCTTCAGAAGAGAAACTAAGCTTGTTTCAGAAGTCGAATACTATCTCACAAACCTCATTTCAGCAAAGATGTTTATAATCAATGTTAATGGCCAGTCGCTATCCATGGAAGAAAGTGAGTTTCAGAAGCATATGGAATCTGCAAAACTAGGTACTCAAATGTCTGTTGCTGGCCCTAGTAGTCCACAAGGGTTGGCTACATCCACGAGGGGATTACAGAAGCAAATTGATGCAGAAGGTCTGTTTCTTACCACTTTCAGCTCATTTGAAACAGATATTTTTAGTATAAATTTGGATTTGAGCTATCAGCTTTCCCCATGGGCATAACTAACCGTGTTTCTTCTGATGCTCTTGTCTGAGAACCAGTTTACCTAGTGACTTGCATATATACTCATAACCTTTAATTTTTATTTAGTGGCTGTGTTCTTCTTCCATCTACTTGAGGGTTTTTGTTTTTTCTTACTTTTGTTGCATGATCACAAATTTTCAGTTGACATTTAGCAGGTTCCAGATTCCCTTTCATGGACTCGGAAACTGAAAATCTGACGCCAGCGGAACTCAAGCAGTTACATGGGCTCTACAGGAAGACAGTGACCAGATATGCACTGTTGTCTAAAGCCTTAAGAAAGTTATCCATAGATGAGGATCAGCTCCTCGCATCAGTAGATGATTCATGAACTGATGCAAAGATTATTATTTTTGCCACTTGACCGTTTCAACAAAAAACAAGGCAGGATGGGAGGAGATTACATACGTCGTTCAAGTGTCAAAACATGGTATCAAGACCTGGAACCGCATTCATGTTAATGTTGTCCCTCGATGAATAAGCCCAAGACTGCAGAAACATTATCACAATTCAGGATCCATGTCCAGGGGGTACCAAACGATGTGATACAAATCGATGATCATGTGGTAATTGATGGCCAGCTGAATGAGTTATCAACTCACTGGACGCTAACGATGCAGCAGGTCAGCTGCAGCTCATGGATCTGGATGTCTGGTTAGGACACTTGCCAAAGCATTGTACAACAGAATCGAGATGCAAGCTTTCATTTGAGTTTCTGAAAAGCGATATGAAGAGCCTTCTCCTTGACTTTTTATCGCAACCCCACCAGGAGAAACAGCCACTACCTGCCAATTGTGAGCTTGGCATCAGCGACATTAAGACCATCTGCATGATAAAAGGTACTGTTGACCCAGCTACCTGAGTACATGTTAACCAAGCAAACATCAATTCTGCCGTTAGCCTGACATGGTTTTCTGCTTGTTAGTACTGATGTACAGTAGTGACAGCTGCTCTGTTGCTATAATTATTGGTTAATTAGTTGTAGTTTGTACTGTTTTGATTTTGATTGAGAAGTTAAAACCATATGGTAAGAAAAGGGAACACATGGCTAGTCTGTTTTGTTTCCCCGAACAAATGCTTTGCTTCATTTTTATTTGGTAAACAATTCAGAACATCTAATCCCATTGGCCGCTAGAAAGGGAATGTTCAATTCTGGCCTCCCATGTCGCCATGGCAGTCCTCATGAGCAAAGTGGATCCTGCCCGCTGCGACGTCGTAGACGAAGCGCGTGTTCACCTGCTGCATCGCGCCGATGATGGTGATGTGCTCGCTTGGCATCACAGTAAGGCAGGCGTCTTGGTGGACGAGGACGAAGAGCTGCTGTGGCCGGAGCACTAGGTCATTGTCCAAGTGCAGCGTCACCGTCGGCAGGTGCTCGAAGGCGGCTCGAGTTGCGCCGCGGAAACAGACGGGGTACTGGTTGCCCTCCACTTTTGGCAGCCCTAGCCTCCTGACACGCTCTTCCACGGCGTGCACCAGGAGGTCATATGCGGGCTTGATCATCACCGTCATGCCCGTCCCGGGATCGATCACGCAACCGTTGGACCACCTGCCGTCATGCAACTTGCGGCGCTGGAACAACTCCTTGATCCTGCCATGTGGCAGGCTCAGGGGCAGCCCGGCGACACTGACGCCTGTGAGGCCGACGTGGTAGGGGCTGAACTCCGGGTCGGTCATGCGCACGTAGAGGATCTTGGTGCTCCTCATGTGGCCCGTGGCCGGGACGTCGGCGCCGAACTGGAGGAAGCCGTGCCTGTTCGGATGCCCGGGTCCGGAGAGGCAGTAGGAGAAGCGGCCGTCCTGCCCGTGCTGGTGGAGCCGAGTCCAGATGAGCGACGGTCTCTGCTTGCCCAGGCCAAGGACACCGGCTAGCACTTCGTGGCTGTGGAACCCCGTGGTGGTGTGCGCGCAGCCGATGACGACGCCATGAACTTCCGCGTCGTCCGTGAAGGCGACGGTCTCGTTGACGAGCACGCCACTCACACGCGCACCGTCGAGGCGGGTGGCTCGAAACTCGCACTCTTTGCGCGTGGACGGCCCATTGCACAGGGTGCTTACGCGCGAGACGCGGCGGAACGATGGCGAGGCCAGCGGGTTGAAGGGCGGCGGCACCTGTGTGAATGGGCGCGCGATCGGCACGCACTGCATCCATGTCAGGCTGCTGGCCGTGTCCAGCTCTAGGTCGTACGTGCGGCGGCCGTGGCCCGTCCCGACGGTGGTGGCCACGCTGTACGTGAGTCCTCTGGGCCCGCGAATGTGCGGCCGAAGCGTGGTGGTGGCTGCCTCGTCCAGGTGCAGGAAACCGTCGCGGTCGACGTGCATGGTGCTGTTCCAGCCGGTGTTGGGGACCAGGCGCAGGCTCAATCCTTCGCTGCGGCATGGCCTGCCATTGTCAGCAGCGGCAGGATGGAGGAACGTCACAAGCGAAATGAGCATCAGCGGGAGGAGGATGATAGCACGCGTGTCAGGCTTCATGGTTGCAGCAATGCGGTCTGTGACACTAGCTAGAGCACCTAACTTGTTGGTTTGGATGCAACCAAACCTTCCCTTCCCTTTTATACATCGAAAAGAGTTTGGCCGCATTAACTATGTAGTGAGAATCCCTTTTTTCGATTTGCATATCTCTTGTACACTTTTATGCAGAAGATACTCATGAATTAACTTATGTAGTGAGAATCCCTTTTTTTCGGTTTGCATATCTCTTGTACACTTCTATACAGAAGATACTCACGAATGAACGCATTCTAACATGAATTGAGCATGGAAGTGAAGGGCATATGCAATGCATTTGCTTTATTCTTAGTGAGTTAATTCGTGCAGGCATAGTTCAATGTTGAGCAAAGGATTTGGCTGCATTAATTGTGTCTTGAAAATCCCTTTGCAATGTTGAGAAAGGGATTTGGCTGTATTAATTATGTATTGAAAATCCCTTTTTAGATTTGCGTATCCCTTGGGCTATCCAAGCGACAACTGACAAGATTATTGAAAGGCAGGGTGGAGGGGGGTTACTCTCCTATGGTGGTAGGCTTACCTTGATTAAATCTTGTTTAGCAATTACACCTACATACCTGCTATCTGCCACTAAGTTTCTTGCTTGGGCTATTTAAGCAAATTAATTCGCAGATGGCTCACTTCCTATGGGGAAGATCATCGGTATGATGGACATAAGAAATATCATTTTGCTAATCGGGATTTGGTGACCATGAAAAAGGAGCATGGGGCGTTGAGATCCTGGCCCAACATTCGAGACATGAACATTAGTTTCCTGGCCTCTTGTATAAGTAGACATCATCTTGATGATCAGAAACTGTGAAAACAGATTACTGACTACAAGTACAATACCACCAGACATAACATTTTTGCTTGTCGTCATAATATTACCCTCTCAGAAAAGGCTGATGTAGGCAGTAAGGAGCTGCTCAATTTTGGTACAGACGGCTTGTTGGAAATGGTAAAAAGATTAGGTTCTGGGAGGACCAGTGGTTTGGCCAGACTAGCCTATCCATAATTTTCTGGGATATATACTTATGAAAAAGGAGCAACAATTAGCTAGGTGTGGGATGGTAATAATATTGAACTCTCCTTTAGGAGGGGTTTCATTGATAAGTTAACGGGTCAGTGGTGTCAACTTAGAACTATTTGCTCGTCTTTAGTAGTACTATGTACTAACTGAAGAAGAGGATTCCCTAGTTTGGAAAATGGATAGCTCTGGAATCTGCTCCTCACAGTCGTTTTATGCTGCTATCAACTTCCATGGTGTTGTTATGCCTGTCATTATCTTTTGAAACACGTAACAACCTTGGTGAAAGGAAGAAAAAATATCCCTGACACTTTCTGTGTGTTGTGCTCTGAACAAGAAAGCGTTGCACATTCTATTATTCAGCTGTGAGATTTTCAGGATAATCTGGGATGAACTATCAGATATGCTTCGAAGATGAGTGGGCGAAAAGAAATGTAGTACAAGGTTGCTTGGTTGTGGATTATTAACAACAAACAGAATGCTGTGATAAATATGCTATCTGCTGCTGTTATAGGAAAACTTGGAAACTCAGGAATGACTTCCATTTGAACGGTGCTTGTGGTCTGGTTTGCAGGTCGTCTGGCGTCGCCTCTCTTGGCCGGTGAAAAGACGGCGCCCGCTATGCCCTTCTGAGGACCTGGGCTCCCTGGACCGATCACTGACTGATCAAGCTGGACAAGAAAGTAAGACAGGCCCCAACACTAAGCTGGTGAAGATGAGGACCTCGACGGAGTGGCAAAGAACTCGGATTGCCATGGCCAGGTTGCCGCGGAAGCCTGTGCGTTGAAGAGTGGAAGGAGCTGTTACTTGCATTTTTCGTTCTCGTGATGCTGTGCTAGCAGTATGTATCCTGGGACCATATGTTGAATACTCTCTGGTGTTTCATTTTCCAGTGAAAGATGGAACAGCCGAACAGGGCTGGGGGCATGTTGATTTTTTTTTGTTGTTGTTGCATATGCGTTGCACATTTTGCTGAAGATGACTGGGTGATTCTGGTTGCATGTGTTTACCATGACCGGGTGACGCTGCAGTTAGCCAAGGAAGCCACCCAACTCACGCTTGGGCCACGTCAGATGTTCTTTTCAGTGGCTACTGACTTTTGTCTTGCCCTGGAACTGAGCACCCACATCACCTGATCACCATCATCGACAAGTTGCCCCTGAGGATTGCCATCACGACATGGGCGGGACATAATTGACCTTTGGTTTTCAGCCATTGTATTGTTGTAGGCACCTGCAGCTGCACTATGTATCTTTTCTTAGGTGCTCCACGAGATGCCGTTGCAACTTGTTCTGGAGTGCTGAGTGTACTTTTTTTGGGTGCTTGCTTTCAAGTGCCGAGTGTACTTGGTTGTACTTAGTTTATGTGTATCTTCGTTGGTAATGCATTTGATCTAATTTGTTAGATGTTTCACCAGATAATCGTAAAGATAGGAGTATGTGAGTGCACTGTCTAACAAGGCCAAGCAGCTGGAGGTTGACAACCAAAAGCTACGGCATGAGGCAAAGCAGTCCAATGCACTTAGCAAGCAGTTAAGCTATGAATTCCATAAGACAAGTAGGTAGGCACACGACACGAGCATTCTAGGGCTGAATCAGCTGCCAAGGAGTTGATTCCGACCATGAAAGTCAATAATGATGGTAATAAAGACAAGGAGGAAGTGAAGAAAAATGATCAAGGCTCCAAAGAAAGACATGCCTCGAATGAAGGAAGGAGGTTTAAGTTAGATCATGTACGTAGGGAACAAACTAATGTTAGCCATTACTTAGCAGTTTTTGATAGAACTGAACGCCGCACAGTGGTGTGGCTCATGTCAGGGCCGGATGTTGTTCCTTAACTCTGTAAGGCTGAACTTGTTTCAAGTTGATTAATAGAACTCCTTTCCAACCGCCAAAAAAAAAAAAGACAAGGAGGAAGTTAAGAAACCATCGACTAAAAAGTTAAATGAGCTTATAAGTTGATATCATTTTATCCATTACTTTAATTAGAGGGATAATTTTTGTTTTAATACATGGTTGTTATTTGTACCGAGCAATAATGTACTATCATTGTTCTCTTTTTATTATGTACTAGTACATATGCCCGTGCGCTGCAATGGGCAAATTTTTTTGACCAAATCTGCTTTATGTGCCACTACGCTCCACTTATATATATTCAAATCTGATAAACGAATAAGGTTGCCCTCATCTCTATAAAGTTCATATGCGGGTGTGTTGCCATGGGTTGAGCTATCCTCATTTGGATCATGCAAGTGTTGATGTGGAAAGTCACCCTAACACCCTTCACAGGTGCATAATTAAGCTTCACACTTCTGTCTGAATGTAAATATTAGTGGTTCATGGAATAGTCTTTCAGCGAGAGAAACATACAATTTGATTTTTACAGGTGCATTGAAGTCTTTTAGTGGGAGAAATATACAGTATGATTCTTAGGGCATCTCCAACGCCGATCCGCGCTTCCGTCGGCAGACCAGGGGGATCAGTCTGCGGACACTGGTGCGGAAGACGACCATCCAAAGCTATCCACATATGTTCCGTTGCATTTTTCGAAGAAATTTAACGAAAGTGAATAAATTTGGTGGGTATTTAAACAAACCGGACGATATTCGTTCATACTAAATCGGATGCTTTTCATCTAGACTGGAGCAAACTAAATAAATTTCGACATATTTGAACTAAATCGTACTCTAGACCTAGGCTAAATGACCGTCGACGCTTGTGCCCCCATTTTTGGCCGGCCATGAGCCCCAAGAACTAAAGTTACAGCTCCACCTCAATAGCCTTTGCCTCCAAGGCCTGCAAGCTGCTAATCGGCCGATGATTTTGAGCCCGTCAAGCTTGGTTTCAGTGCGAACGAAAGGGCGGTGGCCTTCCTAGGACCCGAGCGCCGACGAACTTCCATACTCTACTTTTCCTCGTTGTCGGCGGCGCCCTTGGACGTGTGGACTTAGTGGTTGTGGCAAAGGGGCACGGGCGCGGCGGAGCTGGCAACGTCGTCCTCGTCCTCGGGCATGTGTTGATCTGAACATGTCCTTTCTTCATGTAGAAGAACTAAATATGAATTTGTTTTAGGGCAATAATCGAGCACACGAGACGAGCCGTTTAAATATGTGCCAAGTGGAAGTGCAGTGTTGTATGCTGCTGAGCCATCCTAACGAACGAACGATTTGAGCCTTGTTCCTACACGCCCTGATCAAATCGATAAGGCACATTTGATCTTTATTGAACTGAAAGGATTGTATATTCGATCTCTGTTTAACTGAAAAGACTGAACCTTTTCTTTTGAATTATGTTTAAGTTTAAAAATTCAACGGTTCCATAAACCTTCTATAGTTCAGAAACGGAATCTTTAGATATATCCTATTTTGGTGTAGAAAATGAATTTCAGTGCACAAATTGAATTATTACATGAACTGAAAAGATTGAACCTTTACTTTTGCGATAGGAGTCGACCAACGCCTCATGGTTGGCCTGCTCAACATCCGGCGCGATCGCCGTGCCGGCAAGTTGGTCCACCGCGTGCCGATGCTCGTCGAGGAGGCGGAGATTGTACTCTTGACCGGCATGCGCCTATCAGAATAAGGCCTCCCACTCGGCCAACGCCATTTCGATGTAGTGAGCACATGCCTAGCCCATGTTGATACTGACATGGGCCGGCGAGGAGGGTGGCGTCGACTCGTCATCGGCCATGTCCGCCATTGGGACGTTCGTAGTGCTGGCCTTCGTCTGTCAGCAATCTCCATCTTATGCTCAGACGAGAGGTTGCCCCAAATGGCTTTGGAGCTCGAGGAAGCCATGGCGGGCGTGGTGCATAGATGAGGGTAATGGTGGGCGGCAGACGAACGCATGGGCGATGTCGGAGTAGGTTCCTCGATAACCGCGCATGTTTAATGTAGGGTGGCGGAATGACGACCTGTAATTTGAACGTGGATGAGTCGCATGCACCGGGGAACGAG